ATACACATCGCCACTTGGTTCTTAGAACTCTCTTTTATTGATAGATGAAAACAGACCCAATGGAGCAAGGTGGTGCACTCAGGGGAATCACAGGACCCTACATCCCTCTTCCCCTTGCCCATGGCCTTGGTGACTTCCATTGTTTCCCTTCTCCCCTGGGGAACTGCCAGGAGGCAAGGCCCAGGTGGCCGGTAGATCAGCTGGGCAGACCCCCTGCCTGAGGTTCTGGCGGCTGCTGCAAGCTGTGCAGGACAAAGGATGTTGGTGTGCTCCCTGCCTGCAGGTTCTGTGCTATAACCCGAGGCCAGTGGTGGAAGAGCTCTTAGGATGAAGGGGGGCGGGGGGAAGCACCCCAGCTGCTGGCCTCCCCATCACTGTTGCCAACGGCACCCTGCCCCGGGAGAAGCCTGGTGGCACTGCTGGCAGTCCCATTCCACAGTGGCTGGAAGCACTGAGGGACTCACGGCCCAGGGTGGAGGGAACCAGGAGTAGCCCACGAGGTGTGCCTCTAGGCCGTCTGCTTCCCCATTCGATCCTCGCCTCCCCACGGCAACCTGCCTGCGCTGCCTCCCTCCCACCCCTGCTCTCAGCAGCCCACCCCTGCTGGTGTGGGGTGGGAGCCAACCCCAGTGCACCACCCCCACCAGAGGCAACTGGTCTGTGAAGCTGCTCCTTCCGTCAATCTCTCCAGCCTGGACACCTCTTCTTCCCTAAATGAAGGGGTGAGGGAGCCCCAGGCAGAGGGAAGAGGTGGGGAGGGCCTCCTGGGTTGGGTGAGGGTGGCCTTGTTTGTGGTCCTGAGGGCAGGGGACCCATAAGCTTTCTCAGTCCTTCCTGGTCCCTAACTCCCTTTTGGCTCTGTGAATGGCTCGCACACACTGGCTCTCGGCGAGCAGACGTTGCAATCCAGGATAAGACATAAAGTGGGTTCTTCCCATGCACTGGTCTGTCTGGCACAAGCCACTCACCTGCACTTTCCATCTTCATAGCATCTCTCTGAGGCAGGATCTTCATGCTAGAAAGCTAAGGTCAGAAAAGTGAGGAGAGGCCACAACCAGGAGGCACTGGGCCAGGATTCCAGCCAGGCCTGCTGGACCAGCCATGGGTGGTCAGCGAAGGCTAAGGGCCCTGGGAACGTGTCCTGCCAAGATGTTTACGAACTCTCAAAGCCCTGGGTAGCAGACGCCTAATTGTAACCAGGAGAGCAAACCAGCCTGTATGACGGCGAATTTTTCTGTTTCCAGGGCCTCTAAGCGTTTTCACTCTGCATTTCTGAGGGGTGGCTCCCGGGCCAGCCCTGTTAGAATCTGACACTTGGGGACCCAATGTCTGGGTCTGCCAGATTCCCACCCACTCTGCTCAGCTTTCCCATCTACCTAGACCTGGAAAGGTGGACTGAGGCTGCTTTATTGGGTCTGGATCCGAACACACTTCTCTTTTACTCCCCACAGCATGTCCCCATCACTCCACAGCTCCCCCAAACCTGAAAGCTTGTCTAGGGGGAGGGGAGAAGGGGCGGAGGAAGAGGCAGAGAGGAGGTGGAGACAGAAGAGGAAAGAAGGGGTGAAGATGCATGAAGTCACATGAGCACCCACTGATGCTCCCAGAGCCTCCAGGGAAAACAGCCCTGAAGGGCCCTGGGGGAGAGGAAATGGATTTCAACAGGATTCACAGAAAGCAGGTCAGACCTCGGGGAGAATTCCTGGCTGTGCAAGATCAACTCGGCTCTCCTTCCTGTCTTTGCTTCCTGGCCACACGTGTGGGTCAAGGGCCCTGAACACACCCTCCCTGGGCCTCCCAGCCTCTGTCCCTGCCTGGAAGACGTCCTAGTAAGTGACACCTTCAAAGCCAGCCCTGACCTCCCCACCCAGCCCACCTGCAATGCCTCAGCTCTCTCCTGGCTGCTCGCCCTCTGTAGGTGGGCGAGGGCTCTCTCCCAGTGGGGTGAGCATCTGGCCCTCTTGTGTGCCAGGTCCTGAAGGAGAGGAGAGGACAGGCACGTTCCCACACTTCAGACCACTCGATTTCTGCTTTATCTGTGGACCAGCTATCTACCATTAACACGTCTTTGAATCAACTCACCTGCTCTACTTAGTTCCTACTAAGCAGCGATGCCTGTGAAATCAACAGTCGTGCCAGTCAGTCTCTCTCAGATGCACATTAGAGTCACCAAATTATTTTCTGTGGCAAGGTGCTCCTTACCTGCTGCAGGACACTGGCTGTGCGACCCCAGCTAGACTGGAGATGGAACCCAGGGCAGGGTCCCGTGTCCACATTTTCACACCTAGCCTTATTAGGGACTGCTTCACTATCCTTCATACACACTGAAGGCGCCTAGTAAGTGATCAGGGCTGCAGTGGAAACTTCACCAGCTGCCTCTGTGGTCCTCTGCACACCCAGTCTCCCATGCGTGGGCCCCTCTCAAAGCCCTTCTCAGGCATTGTCTTCTGGGGTCCTCATGCCCACCAGTGAGATGGGCAGGGTAGCCATAATCACCATTTGGCAAACAGAGAAACTGAGGCAGGGAGTCTGACCTGCCCAGGGTTTTCTAGCTTCTCAGCTCCTCTCTCCATATTCCTCAGCTCAAAAGTCTAAGGCTCAGTGGTTGCCGAGTGGGTGGGCACTATGAAGAGCTGTTTAGGGAGGTGCTGGATGGCTGCGCCCCTGGCTGGAAAACAAGCCACACCAATGGATGCCTGGGTCAAGTTTAGGTCCCACACAACCGCTCCCCTTCTCAGACCTTTCGCAAGCACCCTCCACTTCAGGCAGGACACCAAGGAATGAATGGCAGGGCCAGCATTCCTGGACCTGTGCACTGAGGGTATTTTTAGCCTTTGCCCTGCCTGGGCATTTGCACTGTGTCTAATGTTCTCAGGAAACCACCCAAATGCACACCCAGGAGCCTGGCGGGCTCTTAGAGTCTCTGGGAACTGCACCCTGCCCTGATCCTGCGGCTCAGGATCCAGCTCCCCCTTCCAAGATAGAATCAGCTCCTATTAGTGAAGAATGCATCCCCACCCACAACACACACAAAGGCTTGTGGCTCAGAAACCAGGAGGTGTGAGGCATAGAACCTGTGACCTTGGGGAATCACAGTCTGGACCTGGAAAGTCAGGGGAAGACCTCAGCTGTGCCAGGGGGACCATCAGGCCAGACGGTTGCTGAGGTGCTCAGGAGAGGTGGGGCAGCATCTACTCCAGACAGGTGCGCCCCTGGGGAAGGTGTGCTGTGCTAAGGGAGAGTCCTATTTCACTTCTAGGGGCAAGATGCCGCATCTTGGAGATCTCTCTTACTGGGGCTGGGCTAACTCTGGCTGTGCTGTCCCTGTTCTCCTCACCAGCGCGGTTTTCCAGGAGCCAAGAAGCAATTCTGGAATGTACAGGTAAATCTTCACAGGTAAAGTATAAAGGCTTTTCCATCTTCTCTTCTGCTTCTTCTTTGCTCCCTTTTCTCGAACTCATTACTCTTCTCTTCCTGGATGTTGCGGGGTGCTGGTGGGACCAGGGGGTTTCACAAAGGGCAGGAGCCTGCCACGTGCCTGGGGGGCACTGTCCTGTGCTGGGTCTCAGTTTCCTCCTTTGTGAGGCTGGGAGTCGCGACGCCTATCTTGCATGGCAGGTAGGTTGCTCTCCGCAGGGACTGTCACTTTTTTGTCTGGCACTCACGGTCAGAAATACATTTTACATATTGACCAAGTGCCCGCGTAAATAAATACACACGTGAAATAAATGCTTCACAGAGCGACACTTACTCACTGCATGGAATGATCTCTGGTATTTCCTATCTAATTGTTTCACTTTCGTCAAGTGCTAGTCCCCACCACGTTTTTTTCAGGACGCGGTATTGGTCCCTGATCTGATGTGCACGGTCAAGAGGGAGAGACAGAAAAAAAGCAAGCGCACAGGCGCACACATGATCACTACCGGAGCGAAGCGCGAAGCGCGGCGCAGGGAAGAGCGGGGTCTGAGCCAAGGGGAGAGGGGCGGGCCCATTTCTGCACTTCACAGCGAGGCCTCGGGCAAGGCGGCAGGCAGGCCAGGTCAGACCCGGCTTTGAGGCTCTGGTGGCGGGCTGGGATTTATTTTAAGGGACATGGAACGCCACCGCAGGTTTGGGGGAGGGGCAGGATTAAAGGAGAAGATGCGCTCAGCACGTTATATTTAGTGGCTGACGCGCCGGAAGGGCTCGTTACCCGCAGCTACCACTGCGCCCCACGCCCGGAGCGCGGCCCCAGCTTCGCCCCCCGGGGCAGGGATCCCCGGTCCCCGCCTTCACCACCTGGGGCAGGGACCCCAGTCCCTTTATCCCATCTTCACTCCTCGGAGCAGGGATCCCCGGTCCCCGCCTTCACCACCTGGGGCAGGAACCCCAGTCCCCCTATCCTGTCTTCACTCCTCGGGGCAGCGACCCCGGCCTCCGCCTTCGTCCCCCGGGGCAGGGACCCACGGTCCCCGCCTTCGCCCCGCGAGCAAGGATCCCAACCCGCCGGTGCTGGAGACGAAGAGAGTGAGGGCGGAACCTGGCCCGGCGGCCTCCCAGCCAGGGTGGACAAAGCTGTCCCGGAACGCTTCGGCAGAGGGGAAACTGAGGCCAGGGGACTGCGTCCGCAGGCTCGCAGAGCGGGGGCCTGGGGCGGGGCCGGCACGCGCGGCGGGCGGGGCCTGGCGCCCCGCCCCCTCCCGGCGCACGCGCCTCCCGCCCCGCCCCTCTGCTTTCTGGCCCCTCCCAGCCGGCGCACGCGCGCTCCGCCCCGCCCGCTTCCCCCCCCTCCCCCAGGCCCGCCCGCCGGGTCTCGTGCTCCCAGCCCGCGCGGGGCCCGCCGGGAGCCGGCCGAACAGAGGGGCGGAGGGCTGGGGAGGGCCTGCCCGGGCCGGCGGCGCGGCCATATTTAAAGGGAGGCCGGCGCGGCGAGCCAATGGGCGGCGAGCGTGCGGGGGCGGGGCGTGCGGCGGGAGGCCCCGGATGTGGCTGCGGCGGCCCCTCCTCCCCCGCGCTCCCCTCAGAGCCCCCGGCCGCGCGCCGCCGCCGCTCGCTTGCCGGTCCGCGCAGGCCTTCCGTCGGGCGGCGGTGAGGAGGCGCCGAGGCGGCGGGGCGGGCGGCGAGGCGACCGCGCGGAGGCGAGCGGGCGGGCCCGGCGGGCGGCCGCCGCCATGAGCGGCTCCTCGGGCACCCCGTACCTGGGCAGCAAGATCAGCCTCATCTCCAAGGCGCAGATCCGCTACGAGGGCATCCTCTACACCATCGACACGGACAACTCCACCGTGGCGCTCGCCAAAGGTAGCGGCCAACCGCCCGGCCCGGCGCCGCGCCCCGCCCGGCCCCAGCCCCGCGGGGGTCCGCCGGGCCGCGGCGGCGGTATTGTGCGCGGCCGGCCCGCCCAGCCGGGGGTGGGGGCGGGCCCGGCCCCCGCGGCGCCGCCCCTGCAGGTGGGGCCGGGGTCCCCGAGGGCGGCGGGCCGGCGGGGGGGGCGGCGCGGCGGGCCGGGCCCGGGGCTCCGGCAGGCGGGGGGCGAGCGCACGCGCCTCCCGCGCGCCCCTCTGGAGCCCATTAGGCAGCCGGGGCCGCCCCGCGCCTCCGCGCAGCCCGCCCTCCCCTCGGTCGGCGGCGGGCCCGCTCCGAGCGCCCGCTGCCCCGTCCGGATGCCCCGTCCGTGGGCTCGCCCTTTGGGGACAGGCGCTCCCCGTCGGCGCCGGCGCCCCCTTGAAGCCTCCGGGAGACTCCGAGGGAGACGGCGAGACGAGCCTCGCCTTTCTGAGCTTGTTGAGGCGGGAGGTGGCCCCAAAGTTTCTTTGTCTCCCTGCTCCTGGAAGATGGCGAGTGCGGTTCCCCGCCTCTGGGAAGGGGGTGCTCGGCGCGGCGGGGTCTGCAGGCGCCTGTGTGCGGGCCGGGCCTCGGTGGGCTGGGGGCGCCGCTCCCGCGCCCGATGTCAGGGGCCCAGGCCTTCGGGACAGGCATCCCAAATTCTGGAAGCAGCTGCTTTTAGAGCCTAGTGCTCCCGTAGTCGGGTGGACGGACCGCCCGGCCCCGGGAGACGGCTCAGCGTCGTGAGGTCTCGCGTTCACTTGTTCTCTTGGCACTTGACTCTTTGGCGTGAGATCCCAGTTGGAGAAACTGAGGCCCAGAGTCGTCCCTGGTTCTCAGCAGCAGCTGTGCTCAGATCAGCTGGAGGTTGCTTTAAGCCCAGCTCTGTCCCAGAGACTTAAGAAGGAGAGGCTTGGTTGGGCTCCTTGAACCCTGCCGGTCGGGGTTAGTTAGGGCCCCAAGCAGTTTCTGAGGTGGACACAGAAGCGGGTGGTGTGGGTCCAGGTTCGGGCCTCTTCTCCCATTGTTTCTGTAACGCTCCTCCCAGCCCGGTTGTGGGCAGGAGGGTGGGGATAACACAACCTATGGGCGTCTTTCCTAAGAAAACGGGCTCCCCAGGGGTGATGTGTGGTGAGGTTTCAGCCGTAGGGCGGCTGTCGGGCTCTGATCTGCGGGTCGGATGCGAGGGGGGTTCTGCAGAGCAGAGCTTGGCCGCTGAGAGCGCCAGGCCTTCTGTGCTCGCACTTGAGAAGGTTGAGCTTCACGAGACTGCTGGCTCTGAAGCTGGCCCTTGTCGTCTTTGTGCCCTGGTACTTTTAGAAGCTTTGCCGACTGGGGTCTTTGGGTATTGTCCACTGACAATCAGGGGGTGGAGTAGTTGCTGAGATGTGGAACCGGGGTGCTTTGCTGCGGGGCGCCTGTCTTGGAAGGCTTGGGAGCTGCCGCGCACGAGGACTGATGGAGTGCACTTGGCTGAGGATGGCAACTTAACGCCTCTTTTTCTCAACTTCTAAGTGAGGTCCTTTGGCACTGAAGACCGTCCCACCGATAGGCCTGCCCCCCCGAGAGAGGAAATTTATGAGTACATCATTTTCCGGGGAAGTGATATCAAAGATATTACTGTGTGTGAACCTCCGAAGGCTCAGCACACGCTCCCTCAGGACCCTGCTATCGTTCAAGTAAGTGCGTCGCTCCGCTGCTGTGTGGGCACTGTTTCTAAGAGCTGCTGTTTCCGAATGGAACTTGGTGTCCTCTGTTTGGCCAGAGTGCTCACCTCGAGGAATAGCCGTCTAGTGAAAAGTGGTTTAATTTTTGTCTAGGCTGTTGGTATTCTGTGAAAGGTCTTAGCTCCTGCAGCATGCAGTAGGGTGTGCTGTAGAGTGGGATTCGCCGTGTGTGTGTGTGAGAGAGAGAGAGAGAGAGAGAGAACGGGGTGGGTGCTTTTAGTCTTGCCAGGACCTGGGGTGCTTGGGGAGTCGTATTTGTCCTTAGTTTCTGCTTGGGTAAATCTGAAGCCCCAGTGACCTGGTGTGAGTGGCATAAAATGCTAGCAGGGACGGCAGGACTTGCTCTCAACACTGTCCAGGTGTTAAATTCCAGTGTTGGGGTTCACTAAATTTACAAGGCTTATGCTGCGTGCCTGCCTGCTGCGTCAGGGCATATATTGCCCAGGATTACCAAGGAGCCCAGGTTCACGTTTTCTTGATTTGTGAATTTAAGTATTCACTGGCTCCTTTAGGGCTCCTACTGCAGGAGGCTCTGGGACTGAGCTCACTCCCAGGAAGGTAGGAGCATGCACAGTGGACTCTAGGGGCACAGAAGACCCTGGCCAGACTTCTGGAAGGTTGGGAGGGAGGGTCCTGGGATTCAGAAGAGGAAAGTACCTGAGCCAGGCCTTGAGAGACAAAGAGGCTTTTCAGGAGCACAGGGCCACAGAGAAGATGGGCGTCTGGGGAACTGTAAATAGTTCCACAGCCACACAGCTAGGCTTCTGCGCATTAGGGCCAAATCGAGGATGGCATTTCCATCCTCTCACAGAGCCTAGTTAGACTACCTGATGGCGGCAGTGGGGAGCCGTTAGCGGGTTAATTGAGTTGAGAGAGATTCGTTAGAATTACCTGGACAGGTGGAACTGGGAGAGAAATGTGGAAAAGGCAGCTTTGAGCTCCGTCAGACTTTCCTGGAGTCTTACCCCTCAGCGCCACCCACGCCTCCAGGAATACAGACGGAAAGGTCAGGCTGCCTTCCCTGAGTGAACAGGGCTCTCCAGGCAGGGTGACAGGGGACCTTGCCCCGCTCTCACCTGTGTGTTTCATTGCTCAGTCCTCCCTGGGCTCGGGGTCAGCGTCCTCCTTCCAGCCACACGTGCCTTACAGCCCCTTCAGAGGGATGCCGCCCTACAGCCAGCTGGCCGCCAGCTCCCTGCTTAGCCAGCAGTACGCCGCCTCCTTGGGTCTAGGTGAGTAACTGTTTCTGCCTGGTCAACTGCCTGTGCCGGGATCTCCCGGAAGTGGGCCAGAGACCCTGGTGGTGGGGACACTGTGCTTTTGTCATGTTTAGCTTGCAGCGCACCCTTAGTACATTACTCAGTGCAACTTTAACTCGTTAGAACGCTTAGTAACTACTTGATTGGGAGCGAGAGAGCAACGGTCTGAGTGTTGGAACAGATGAATCAAATCACAATTCATTTGAAGTGTCAGTCTGGGTCTGGGTGGAAATTGTGGTATTTCTACTTTAAAGAAGAAATAACTGATGTGTAATTACAGATGAGTTGTAACTGTTTTGCTCATTTGTAAGTCTGTAAATATAAAAGTTAAATAGAACACCCACATATTATATCCTTTACCATTCTGCTGTCGATGCCTTGCTCAAAAATTTAAGTTTCCCCCAAGGTTGACTAACCCTGGAATAAGAGTCTCTTCTACATGAGTTAGAGTGAGAGGCTACTGGCCCTGGTCGCCGCTCTGCGATGTGTTCAAACTGTGGAGTTGGCAGGCGTCGCCTCCCTGCTCATGCTCCAGCTGTGGGCTGTGATCAGCCTGGACTGGTGCTGTGGGTCACTTCTAAAAATCATGTCATCTTGGTTGCTGCTCCTACTGTGGTGGTGCCCTTCTCAGCCTGCCTCCCTGTGTTTCTAGAATAGGTTTGTGTGAGCAAAGTGTTCTACAAGAGATTGCTTGGCTCTTTCCAAGCTTGCTAGACGCGAGTTTCTCATTACTCATTTGTGTACTTTTCTCTTTTGCTCTTTCTCCTTTGTCTTCCTTTAGAGAAGTTGGTAAGCCCTCCAGCCTCAGCCGCAGCTTCCAGCCCTAGCTCTTCTCCATCTCCACAGCCTGGCTCAGAGCTTGACATGTCCTCAGAGCCACACCAGCTCACTTCCAAGGGTAACAGCAGTCTGGAGAACTGCATGCTGTGTCGCAAGCCATCCTAAGAGCGAGGGGGTAAACCAGTAGACCAGAGTGATAGTAGCTGTAGCACATAATTTACGAAACCCGTGGATCAGTTAAGCTGCTGCTTTTTGGTTAAGCGTATAGTCTTACTAACTCCCACAGTTTTAAAGAAGGGATTAGGGAAAACCGACAGAGCACTTTGTTTATTCTCCCGGGGTTCGGGGTCTGTTTTGACTTGTACTGAGACAAGCACACGTGGGAAACGTCTCTGTGCAGAAAGCCATTTCCCTAGGGTTTCTGCTGGTATTAATGTGTTCTAGATTGCTGGGTAAGACTGCAGGGGAACACCCCTAAGTAACTCACTTGCTGCTCTGGGATCTGTGTGGCACATTCCTCACCCATCCAGGGTATTCAGAGTCAGAGATGTCAGGTATCTTCATAAAATGAAGCCCCTTTAAAATTGGGTGACTAGCCCGAGCTGTTGACCAGGTGAACAGTGTGGGCCTGATGACTGGCTTGTTAATACTGGGGCACCACTTCTCTGTCGGGCGGCAGCACCTGTGGGATTTCTTGACCTTCCATGCTGCTCTTCTTGTTTCACCAGAGGTCGGAAATTCAGCTGCATGAGTGAGGTAGAGCGCTGTGTGCTCCGCCCTCAGCATTGCAGAGACTCCGTCCAAGATAGTACCTGGGGCTTTCGTTATGGCCACACCTGTCAGGCTGTTACATTGCATGTGTTGCTTTCTGAATCTTCCATGGATGCCAGTGCAACCAAGTTGTAGAAGTAGCCATGTGTCTTCCCTACTTAAAAATTACACTAGATAGTTCGTCGTTCTTAGGACTATTTACATACAGTTGCTCGTAGGGCCAGATAGTTTCTTTTAACTGGTCTGAGTTTATAAACAGCAGATGAGCTAAAGATTCTCGCCCCATCCAGTTACAGTGTGAGCAGGAGGCACTCAGGAGTTGTCTTGCTCAGGAAGGGCGTGCTCGATGAAGTGATGGGCCAGAGAAGGTGGTCTAGGTCAGCACCCAGCGTAGAGGACGCTGGCAAGTACTAGCGTGCGAGGCCGTTCCGGTCGGCCCTGGGAGTATTTCTTTTGTTCTGATTACAAGGAATTTTTCACGGTAGTTTCTCCAATTTCTGTACCGTGTGAAAAAGGTGAAATAGCCCATCTTCATTTGTATTGGGCTGCCCCTCTGATAATAGTTACCCCATGGTTAGGGCTCATTTTTTCTGTCTCAGACCTCCGTGCACCTCACACCCGCTCCCAATTGCTCTTTTTAAACAGCACCCCAGATCCGGGAGAGTGGGAGAGGGGAGGGAGGGCAGGGACTGATACGCATGGCACAGCCCTCTTTCTCTTCCTGCTTCGGAGGACCATCTCGTGGGCCAGGACCTCCACTGAGGCCCGGTTTCTGAGCGTTCGTCTTCTCGCTCAGGGCTGGGCATGCAGTATTGTAGGAACAGACTTCAGCAGAACCCCATTCCCAAGGGCAGTCTGGGAGGCCTTCGTTTCTTTATGATGAGCTTTTACTCTTGAGAGGAGTACAGACTGTCATTTCTCTGTAGTTAGCTCTTATTCCTTCATCCTTTTTGGTTTTATTATGCCTTAGCAAAAATGACAGTGTTCTAGAATTTAACTTCAAAGACCCACCACTGCATTTTCTGGAAGATCCCTGACTGGGATGGTTCTTGTCCAGCAAGTACCAGAATGAAACAAATTCTCAGACTGAATTCACCAGCATCTTGGACCGTTGAGCCCCTTCGGGGTTAGAGCTTGTGTGGTTTTCGGAAAGCCATTTCTAGACCGCCTGGGAGGTGCTCCTTTGTAGCGGGGTGTTTTTCCCTCCTTGGGGTTCCCTCAGTCAAGGAGCCTGGGGCTCAGGGTTCCCTGAACTGAGTGGGCCTTGTTCCTGCCTGGACTAGCCACAGAAGGGATGGCCTAGGGTGGGGGGGCTTTGCCTGGGTTTGTGGACCCTCTCTAGGCAGTTACCTTCCTCTCCTGCTCTGATATGCCAACCAGAAGAGAAGTGTCTGGAGGGGTGAAGGCTTTCTCCTTTTTTCTGTTTAAATCCTCCTCCCCTCCCCAACTCAGGAACTGGTTTTCCGTCCGTCCCAGTTGGCAAGAGCCCCATGGTGGAGCAGGCTGTCCAGACTGGTTCTCTTGATAACTTGAACGCCAAAAAGCTGTTACCCGGCAAGGGCACCGCGGGGATGCAGCTCAACGGGCGCCCGGCCCAGCCAAGCAGCAAGACGGCCAGCGGTACTTACACACTCGGTCCCCTGGAGTTGGCTCCATGTGCACACAGTGGCACACTGCTTTCTGGGGTTCTCTCGTTAATAAAAACCACCCCCAAACCCCATGTGCTTTTGCAGGGCTGGCCTGTGCCGCATGCCCCTGTGGTGGTGCTGCCCTGCTGCCGCCGCTGGGTTCTGCTTTGCAGGCGCTTGCCTCACTCTTCCCTTTTGCGCCTTAGATGTAGTTCAGCCGGCAGCTGTGCAAGCTCCAGGGCAGGTGAACGACGAGAACAGAAGACCTCAGAGGAGGCGATCAGGTAACAGCTGTTGCCAATGAGTTCTGGGGCCGGGACCCACGCAGGTGCGCACTGCTTGCTCCTCCCGCCTGCTTCTCCCTGGTGACGGGTTTCGGGGGGTGCTGGGCTCGGTGGCTGCCTGAGTGTGCTCTGTCTTCTCTTTGCTGTCTGTCTGCCCCAAGCCACGTCTGGTTGGTGGCTTACCAGCCATGGCTGTCCTCCCTCTCCGCAGGGAATAGACGCACGAGGAATCGCTCCAGAGGGCAAAACCGCCCGACTAACGCCAAGGAAAACACAATCAAGTTTGAAGGCGACTTTGATTTTGAGAGTGCAAATGCCCAGTTTAACCGAGAGGAGCTGGACAAAGAATTTAAGAAGAAACTGAATTTTAAAGGTCTGAGTTGTTTGTGAAAATTGCCCTCCCCCAAAAGGAGTATTCATAGAAGGAGGCAAGAAAGGACAGCTGGAGCATATGGGGGGCGTGGGGGTGTTGGCGAGTGTGGAAACCGCGGCATCTAGGGAATTACCACAATGAGGAGGAGTCTGGGGCTGTTGTGAAAACAGTGCTCGGGGAATGAGGAGCAGACGGCATGGCCCAGGGGTGGATGAGACTAGCAGTCGGAGTTAGAGGAGATTTCCCCTCAGCACAGAGCACCCCGGTGTGTTCCAGCAAGGCCTGAGGGCGCCCGGGTGGAGGGGCCCTTTCTTTCTGTCCTGGCACCTCAGTGTGTGCTGCTTCTCTGCAGATGACAGAGCTGAGAAAGGGGAGGAGAAGGACCCGGCAGTGGTGACCCAGAGTGACGAGGCCCCTGCTGAGGAAGACCACCTGGGGCCCAACTGCTACTATGACAAATCCAAGTCCTTCTTTGACAACATCTCCTCTGAACTCAAGACCAGGTCAGGGGCCCAGGGGGCTGGGCGCAGGCCTAGATGAGCTGGCAGGAAGACACCCACTCCGCCTTGGCACTCCAGGACTGGGGCGTGCTCTCTGGAGGAACGAACCTACATGTTAAGTTCAGGCCCAGTCTCTTAGGATCCTGCTTGGGTTTTTGCCATAATGGATACATCAGTCCTGGTGGCACCAGCAGTCGGTGACGACCTGGGAAGCTCTGGCAGTCACAGGCACCTGGGGGTTCTGACCAAGGTCCAGCCCCACTTTGCTCTTTGCTGCCACCTTCCTCTTTACGGCTGGGCTTGGCACCGCCCTCTCTAGCTGGTTGACTGTGTCAGCACTCACTTCTACACCACCTACCTCGGCCTGCTTCCTGGTCCCCAGCTGACCCTGGTGGCCTCAGGCCTTGCTACCTGAGGCACCTAGCCAGACCATTCTACTGCGGTGTTCTTTCCCCTGATTGCTTGAGGCTGGGGACCCTGTCGTGTGCTTGGTTTTTAGTACGCAACAGCTGGTGCTCAGATGTGAACAAGCTAGACAGTAAATGACATCTATGTTAACAGGGATGTATGGGAACTCAGATCCGCTTATTATGCAAATGGAGGGCCAGATGTACAGAGCTGGGCATTTAGGAGACCGCAGAAAGGCTGGCAGATCCCTACTCTCCATGCTTACATTCTGGCAGGGGGAGATAGATCATGAAAAGACACATACATATATAAGATAAAAATGCATTGGGGAAGAGCAACCAGTGACGGGTGTGGGTGTGAGGGTAAGAGAGTGCTGAGGTCTTAGACGTGGTGGCGTTCAGATGACAGGGGCTAGATGAGAGGCTTTCCCAGACGGTGCTGGGGCGGAGGCAGGCAGTGTATCTGCCGTGAGACTGGAGCAGAGTCAACTGTGAGGCAGGGCGGAGTGATGAAAGTAAGGTGGGTCCCTGCAGGGTATTGTAGGTTACGGTGACAACTGGTTTTTATTCTGTGCGCTGGGGAGCTGTCAGAGGTTCGGAGCCGAGGAGTGACACTGTTTGACGTTTCTCCGCATCTCTGTTGACGGGGCTGAGAGTCGGCAAGCGGGGGAGCTGTGTGGCCACTTGGGAGGCTTTTGCAGTAGTGTGGCTGTCTTGGAGTGGGTGGGGGAGGGTGGTGGTGAAGGAGGGCAGCCTGGCTTCTGACCGTGCTTTAAAGGCGGAGCTGGCAGGGTTTGTGACTTGTGACAGGGTGTGAGGAGAGCCAGAACGACCGCCCAGGTTGGCCCGGACAGCGGAAGGGTGCAGTTTGTTTCTTTAAATGAGGGGGCCCATAGGGGCAGCAGAGCAGGAGCTCAGTGCTGGGTGTGTCGCATCTGAGCTGCCTGTGAACAACCCGCTAGCTGTGCCAGGCACACAGTTGGACACGGGGGTCCCCACTGCAGATAGAAGAGTGGGTGTCAGCAGCATGTTCGGGTAGCAGGAAGGCTGCTGGGCAGTGTGGAGTGTGGGTACTATGTCCCCACCCCCCAGAAAATGGGCATCATGTTCTTGGGGACCCGGCTCCATCTAGAGCCCAGTCCTCTCCTCACCTAGTAGAAACTTGTCTAGGATCATCTATGATCTGGCCACATCTTGGAACCTTCATAGGTGCTGGGGGCAGCAAGGGCTTCTGTTGTGGCACACTAGTGTCGTGCGTCACCATAGGTGACAAAGGCATGAGAGATGTATACTGAGCAGCCCAGTCTGGTGACAAGCACACCTGGTTGGAAATGTGGCTGGGCACACCTGCAGTCTGGGTCTCAGGCCCCAGCGTCCTCGCTGGGTCACCCCCTCTAATGGCTCCAGTAACACAGTAACCAACCGTCCCTCTTTCCGTCCTTCCTCCCGGGCTGTAGGAGGCTGAGGCCGGGCTCAGGAAGCTGAGAGTCAGTGCTTGCTGCAGTCAGTCTCACGCACCTTGTCTGTGGTTCAGTTCCAGGCGGACCACGTGGGCTGAAGAGAGGAAGCTCAACACGGAGACCTTTGGGGTGTCAGGAAGGTTTCTTCGTGGCCGTAGTTTCCGGGGTGGATTTCGAGGGGGCAGGGGCAATGGTACTACCCGTCGCAACCCAACTTCCCACAGAGCTGGGACTGGCAGGGTGTGAGGATGCAGCCAAAGGTGAGTGGGGAAGCTTCTGGATCCCTTGGTGGGAGGTCACTGGGACAGGAGCACCTGGGTAGGAAGCCTCTTCAGAAAGAACTTAGGAGTCAGGCAGTGGCTGGGTCTGGCTTCAGGAAGAGACGCCTCGAGGCATCAAGGCCAAACTGAGGCCTTGACCCTCTGAATCACCGGGGGCTCTTAGGGATGGCGGGACCAGAGCCAGCCCCAACCCAGGCCAACTGACCCTGAATCTCTGGGGAGGGGCCCAGCCCCAGGGTTGTCACAGTGAGGTTCTAGGTGCAGGAGGGCTGGGTGCTTGCAGTCAGCAAGTGGGGGATCGTGCGTGACAAGCCAGGGGCACGGCTCTGCGCTGACTCAGTCTGCATTTTTAACAAGGACCCTGGTGACTTGTGTGCCCATCAGGCTCTGGATGGTGTGCCCAGTGTTATGGGTGTGCCCAATGCCGACCTGCCCCTAGCCTGGTGGGTGGGACCTGGAGCTGCCTCCCTGTCCCCATTGTGGATTGTGATGGGAAAGTCTGGGAAGCCCTGGCCTGACATGGGGGTGGTGCAGAGGTCTAGCCACTTCTGTTCTTCAGCAGAGTCCACAGAGCCTGGCCTCTGCTGGGAATGAACTTAGGCCTAAACAAAACGTGCTGACTGCATTCACTTGGTGTCACGTCGTCTTCTCACAGGCTCCTGCTTGAAGCAGCACAGAAACGAAGCTGTGTCTACAAGGACATTGGAAAAGCTGCACTTCCTGGGGGAGACGTGGGTCACTGTTTACTGAATTTGGAAAATCCCATACTACTACTAATGTTTTGGACTTAACAGAACTTGGACCTGGTCTGAGTTAGAACCACTTGTTTTGGGGGAAGTATTCATGGGTAACCTCTCTGAGGTATCTTGGCCTATCTTTCCTCTTTAGTTGCGCACAGCCTAATTCTAAGGTTTTGGTATTTGGCAGAAAAGTTTCTAGAGAGAAAGCTTGATCCTCCCTTTGTGACTTTTTTTTGACAGCTTTGACTTTTAAAGTGGAACCAAATCTCATTTGGCAAATGCGGCAGCCCAGCATATCTCTGTAACCCAGCTGGCCCCTTGTGCTGCTGGCCTGGCACCCCCGCTGTTGCAGGTGGGGTCTCAGGAGCTGGGCAGAGCCAGCATGGTGGTGTGTGGGGGCGGGTGGGGATAGGGCAGGGAAAGTGGGGTGTCCCACAGATCATGTTGTATAAGCAAACCAGACAACCCTGACGTCCGGAGTCCAGAGTGGCAAGGTCAAGGTTGGGGGCTGGCGGGGTGGGGGGACACCTGGAGGCAGGGGAAGGGGCCCTGAACATGAACTAGGAGCTGTCACTTGGAGCCTGGCTTCCATAGGAATTAGGGTTGGGGGTCCAAGGCCAGGACAAGCTCCCCTGTGGCATCCGTCATTCCTTCTCTGTCCCTGCCAGCCCCAGACCCTGGCCAGTCAGTGTTGGACTCTGGCCGAACACTGTTCTGTTCGGTGTCTCATCCACTTGGAAATGAGCCAGTCTTTTTTGCAAGGTCTGTTGACCGAGAGCGTATTTCCTCTCAATTGTAAATAGTTCTGTGTTTTTGTTTTACAGGTGGGTGGAGGGAGGGTGGGGAATATAAATTGGTTGCATGAGTCAATAGGTCAGACCTTTAGTATAAGCATGCGTCCCTCTGATTGACAGGGCATTGTGTTGAACATAAGCACCTTGGTAACTAAACCCCTTCCAACAGCTATAAAGGTCTTAGTTCTGTATTGATTAAGTTACTGTAAAAGCTTGGGTTTATTTTTGTAGGACTTAATGGCTAAGAATTAGAACATAGCAGTGGGGCTGCTCTGTTGGAGTAATGTAAATTGGAATTATAAATAAACATGCAAACCTTTAAAACTTTCTTATCCGCTCTGAAAGTAAATAGTCCTGTTGATTTTGCTGGCAAATCACATCCTGTCTAACGTGCCCATCTGAAGGGGGCTGGGAGGACCTGGGGAACGTTTGGTGCTCTTCAGTGAGACTGACCTGGCTGGTCTGCGTAAAGGGCAGGGAGCCAGGCCTAAGTGTACCGTGGGCCACCCTCCTCGGATGAGTGGCCCTGCTTTCCAGACACTTTGGACACAAACTAGTTTTAAAAACTCAGTTCACAGATAAATGTGCTTTAGAAGTGGCCCCTTTGCTGCCTTAGTGCAGCTTCCAAGCTCCCCAGAACTCCCATGTTCTCAGTGCCTTCGAACCTGTTATGGGGCTGGACCCTAGGACCATGTGGAAAAGCAAGACCTGGTTGCTTTCAGACTTGAAGTGTCATTTCACTGTAATGGATTTCCAGGTGCCTTTTTTGTGCTGAGGAAGATTAGCCCTGAGCTAACATCTGTGCCAGTCTTCCTCCTTTTTTATGTGGGACACTGCCACAGCATAGCTGACAAGTGGTGTAAGTCCATGCCTAGGATCCAAACCCATGACCCAGGGCTGCCGAAGTGGAGTGTGCCTAACTTAACCACCATGCTACGGGCCCGGCCTCTCCACATCACTTTTTAAAAGCAGTCTCAGAGGATAAGGCCCCTCCAGTCAGCTGTTGTCACTTCTCCCTTCACTCAGGCCCAGAGCAGGACTGGGCAGCAGGCAGTCAGCCTGTAATGCTCGGCCCAGCCATCAGTTTCAGAACCCCAACAAATTCCTGGTAACCTTCCATCTTTTTGCAACTAATGTCCTTGACCAAAAAAAACTCTTGCATAGTGTACACACTGGGTGCAGGTAGCCAGGGCAGACTCTAAACTCGTTAGGTAACTTAGCAAACGTATTTTCTGCTAGAGAATCTACTCCGGTCAGTCTACTACCTGTGACTAACCTTGCTTTGAAAGTTTTATGCTGACAACCATCCTTACAATTAGACATTTTATGCTGAGGTTAAAATATATCTGGGCCTCTTTACTCCTTTTTTAGAGGAAAAATGTCTATGTGCCATTAAACAAGAGCTCAGAGCAAGAGAGGCTGCAGACAGGCAGAGAACAGAGCCTGGAGTCCTGATAGTTGGCAGGAGCAGCCAGCCCGAGGACCCAAAACCCTTTGTAAAACTGTGCAGGGAAAGGGGGTGGTGAGGACTTTTCTGTAAAGACAAACCTTAGGACAGTGACTTAAACTGCGGCTGGCCTGGAAGCTAACAGCACTCTTTCTGGCTAAAACACAAGAGCGGGGGGAGTGGCCGCCACCAAGTCTTAACGTTTTCATGTATTCTACCTTAAGTCTTAATCTACTAAATCCAGGAATATAGCTGCTGTTCTGCAAAATTCTGAGTTCAGGGCTTAAACTGAGTGCTGTCTGTGCTTGTGTCCTTCACATCATGTTAGACGACTTGAATGGGTGGCTGAGGAGCGAAAGTCAGTCCATCTGTTTAGAACCCCTAAAGGAAAGAACCCGAGTTTATACACCCATTTTGAGTGCCTGTCCACTGCAGCCGTGCACAGCACCCGTCGCACTTCGCACACTGCTTGGACTTGAAAGTCCTTCCACAAACGCCAAGGGAGGACTCCCTCCTCAGTCTGTGGCTTCTTGTCCTAGAGCCTGGCAATGAGCAGCAGAACGGAAGGCTCACACCAAGGAGAGCACCAGAGACCAGAAGTGAGGGAAGTTCTAAAGAGCTATCGTAATTACACCTAAAAGACGCACACACTTAAAAAAGTTAAAAAATATGGTAGTTTATTGTAGGACACTTGGACAGTACGGATAATGGAATGGAAATGCCTACACGTCATTTTGAAAATCATCCATGATTTGAATTAAAAATCAATACAAGCAAGATTTCGTTATCATGATGCTTTCTTTTGTTTCTTCTTTTCGTTTTCCTCTTTTTCTTTTTCAATTTCAGCAACATATTTCTCAATTTCTTCAGGATTTAAAATCTACCAAAGAAAAAGAATTTATGGTTAGTCCCCAAGCCAAACAAGGTGCCCAGAGCACCAGCACCCCATGTGGGGAGGGGAGCTCTTGGACTCTGGCCAGACTGCACCTCAGAGCGGCCGCTACAGTAAACAAGGCCACGTGTGCCTGATCCAGTTAACAACAGCCAGAGCCTATTAAAAAGCAGATTATCAAATCACTAAGTTTTCATAGGCGATTATTAAAAAGCAGAAGCAAATCTGCAGTTGCTGACAGCCCTTCAGTGTGTCGGGAGCACGCGTGAGCACCATCTTTAGCCATGGAGACGACACTGGAATGCTTTCCTTTTGGCTCATTTGTGGAGAGCCTCCTTCCCAGTGCTGAACCACAGCAGAAGGCCCCTAAGCTTGTAGTGCCCCTGCTGATCGGGGAACTCTCCACAGGTAAAGACAGCAAACAGACTTGGCGATTACCTTGAGGGGTTGATCTCGCCTCATGACAGCAAGTTCGATGTTTTTGCCGCCGGACTGAACCACCTTGGAGGGAAGAGGAGAACATTAGATGCCTCTCCCACCTCGGGACCAAACAGGTCTCCAAGCACCACTCACGACAGTGTGTGCACCCGAGCCCAGCACTGCCACACGAGGAGAGGGGGCGAGAAGTCCCAGCACCCAAAGCTTTTGTCCTAACTGCACGTCATGTGCAGTCATCTGGGACACCTGCACCCCCTGCCTGTCTCCTGGCAGTCAGACTTGGGCCGAATCGCTGGTCCTTCTTGCACAGTAGCCGTGCTCACAACTCTCCCCTTTCCCACCACTGAGCTCCAACCTCTGGACTCCGGCCTGGCCCCCCAACTACCCCCTCAGCCTCTGGGGCTTCACCTGCAAGCACCTCCGTGGTCTTGACAAAGCCCAAGCCCTCGCCACTCCCGAGCATT